TGCTGAACTGGAAGAAGTGTGTATTGACTCCCAACTTTCTGATCTGTTTGTTATAATTCTTTGCCCTTTGGAGGTCACTGCTGCTCAATTATGACAAACTGATCTTGCTGATTCCCAGAACTGCTCTGCAGCTATTGATCTGTTGCACTGACTTGACAAACCTCAGTGAAACGTGGAGCTAAAATTTCATACAAATGTGAACTAGCTCCCTGAATTCCCTTTCTGGCAGGAAGATTGGCTGGGCAGAGTCTAGTCCAAAGAATATGGGATAAATGTAAGATCCTTGGGAATTCTACAGACTGAGATACCAAAGAGAAGCATGCTACTAGTCTCATTCATTAGAAACACAGTGTTGCAGCAGGGTATAGCCTGCACCTACATTTTGTCTCTAGAAGGCATAAAGATGGTGCCCTGACTGTTGGGTTAGGTGCAGTGTGAAAGGGCTCTTCCACCTCAGGGCACCTTGTGTCCTGCTGAGGCCTGGGTGGGTGGCTGTGGCCTAGCAGGGCTCTCAGCTCTGCTGCCTGCGACTGGGCATCACCCCTGGCTGGCATGCCTGGCTCAGTAGATGGTAGCAAACTTGTTTTCCTCGCAAGCAACCTGGAAGTACCACTGCTCATGAGATGAAGTTCAGGGAAAATGTAATTAAAACCACAGAGCTTGGCTCAGTGGCCAGTGTACTGTCAGTGTGGAAGCATAGGCAGTGTTCACTGCAGCTGCACAGAAGCGTTCCCTTGACACCAGGCACAGCCAGAGGTTACATATTTCATTGTGGTCTTTCAGTCCTGGCTGTATGACTAGTTGTGAGTCAAGGGAGTAAAGTGTTCATTTCTTGAATTCCACCAAGATTCAGAAATAAACACGCATCCCCAAACTCTCTGGATCAGCTTCCTAAAGCTGCAAGCTGGTGCCAAGGAGATATGCAGAGCAAGTTCAGAAGGCAAGGAAGTAGGCCAGGGGCTCAATGAAGGTGCACTGCCCAAAGACATAGATCAATTTATTAATTGTAGTATTTTTACACTCATAAATAGTAAAGGCAGCTTCTGCTGGGCTCCCCTTTACCTTCACTTCTGGGACATCAGAGGAAGTATGCTTGCCAGCTGGGAGCAGGGCAAGGCAGGAGAGCCAGGAACTGCCAGAACACCAAGTCTCTGGACTGCACAGGGCACATAGGCATAATCAGAACACCACAGAATACCACAGTCTCTCCTCAGGCAGGGAGAGATGCCTTTCCTGGCCCTCATGCCCAGGGACAAGGCTGGGAGGGTTGGCATTAGCCATGCAGGAGAGTCATTAGGGGAAACCAGACTTTTAATCCACATACAGAATTTCCTCTACAGGCTATGCATCGGCAGCATTGCTGATGCTCTGTATTCAGCAACTGGAACATCAACTGGAAGCAGTAGGAAACAGGCTTTTTCTGTATGGGTACATTGTACTGCTCCTTGTCTAACTGGGGACATGGTCAGAGCTGCTAACTAAAAAGTGAAGCACTTCTCTGTGAGGATGTGGTGCCCACTATAAACATTCACTGTTGTGGAAAACTAAAGTCCAGTTAAGTTGCATGTGCTGCATTGGGCTGCAAAGACACATTGGGCTGCCTTTCCAACACACCAGGATTTTCCTCAAACACAAACATCTGTGGAGGTTAAGTCTACATTCAGATTTAGGTTACTTTGTAAAGCACTTTCTTAACACACCTCCACCAGGTTCTTGCCTCTGGCGATTTTCTAGCTGAGGCCATGATGGGCGTAGTCAAGAGCCTAACATGTATTCCCTGTTCCCACAAAGCAGTTCGCAGGGAAGGCATATGATTTGTGACTACGGTGTCACAGCCATCTGTGGAGGAAGGCAAGACTGGCCTTGCAGAGGTGAGTCCATGTGGGTCAGAGCCATTGCATGCTGAGGGCAGGTTATACAGAGGTTCAGTACGTGTACTGGAGGAATCGAGTAATGAGCAGCGTTGTAGTATCCTCATAGCTGAAAAAAGCCCAGTAGGACAAGAATCTCCTCCCTTGCCAAAGAGGGGGACTCTGGAAGGCTCATCTGTTCTGGCTTGAGCAAGCTCTTGCTCAGTATGCCACTGAAGCTGCAGCTCTGCTGCTTGGAATATGTCTACATAACTGAGAATGAGTCCCATCGTGACAAATGGTAGGGTCTTATCACAAGCACACAAGAGCCCTATCACCTGCCAGATGATTATTCATGTGTACCTGAACATTTTTCCTGGCCAAAGTAGGTATTCATAGTTTAGTGCCACCCTAGGCTGGCCTGGGAAAAATGTTTATACTGACAGAATGCTAACCAGACTTATATACACAAGCAAGGGGGGCACAGTGTGCTCCCAGCAATGCTAGTATGTATAGCCTTTGCTGTAAAGCTCTGGAGGGAGGCTCCCAAGATCTGGCAGATAAGTGGCATTCTCATCCAGATGAGAAAGAGGCACTGTGTCTTCCTGACTGATCTGTCGGTCGAACTCTGCCTTCAGAGTTGGCCGCTGGTTATCAGGGAAGGCCAGAGAGAACAAGGCTTCAGGCTCACACACAAACTTGTACACATAGCGCTCTCCAGCCACCTGCAAGGAAGATGAGATGAATGCTGCAGGCACACAGCACACAGCAATGCTCCTCAGCAGTGGAGAAGGCTTGCAAAAACATCTGGCTGCTCTAAGCTATTGCCCTGGGACATATCAGTGTTTTCCCAGTGTTGCACCCCTGCTTTTCCACTGCTATGGTCTCCCTTGGAACAGCTCCTGGCAAATGGGATGCTGTCAGATGACTCTCTGTCCAGGTAGCAACAGCATCAGCAGTCCCTGACCAATCTGTACTGTGACGTAATTGCACTCAAAAGTTATCCTCTCCAGTGCCCAGGATCTGGAAGAGACCATCCCTACCACATAGGACCAACCCTGAGGCAGCCTATCTCTCACCAACAGCAAGTCTAGACTGATTACATGTCCTTGCAGCTGCATAAATTTCAGCTCTCCTGATTGCAGACATATAAAGAAAAATAATAATTATTCCCCTTTGTTTTATTTCCCATATGTTGCCTAGATTCAGCTCCTTTACAGTTTCCTCATTTAACTGCTGCAAACAGAAGTTATGGGAAAAGAAAGCTCAAGATTCCTGGCTAACTGGAGTGCAAGAGCAGCATTGTTATAGGCATGAAAACTCTATCTGCTTTGCAAACTTGCCTTCTGCATGATGCCTTTCTCATAGTAGTAACGAAGGGATCGGCTCAGTTTGTCGTAGTTCATGGCTGGACGGTTCTTTTGGATACCCCACAGCCTGGCTACCTGTGGAAAAAAAAACATCAAAGTGCATGAGTGTTTGTGAGCATGACCCGAGGGCAAAAGAACATTATCTGATGATTCTCTTTTGAGGACTGGTACCTCAACACAGGCAAACATTTACAACATTTAAATAATAGTCTCAAACAATAATTATTTAGCACATTTTCAACCAGGAGAGTAGAACTCAAACTGATGCATCCTTTGTCACAGAGAGGCATTGTCCTTGCCCTTGCAGAGCTCATTTGCTGTCACCACTTCTCTTGACTCTCTAGTACTCTGAAAACTTGAGGATGCTAAGGTACTGCTTCATCCTATGCTACACCTAATCTTTAAAGATCACGTTTACCATGAGCCCAAGTATGAAGGGACACCTCCACTGTGGAAGGCCCATGTGCCTTTCTTTCTCCTACTATATGATTTTCAGCTTTGTCCATGAGACAAATCTGTTGCAAGCGTATGTCAGCACACAGGAACAACTCCTCTGCACTGAAAATGCCTGTAAAAGTTGATACATAGCAAGAACAGTGCTAAATGCAGCTCTAATTGGAGCAAGGTGTGAGCAGATACTACAGACACATCTCCCAGATATTGTCAGATATCATTGGGTTTTTTTGAACATGGCAGAATTACAAATTACACCTTAATTAATGTAATTTTGGTATAAAAATCCATTTTGACTGGGACATATTTTCTTCCAGATTTTTATAGAAACTTCTGCTATCAGTAGGGTTCAAAACTCCAACCCTCAGGCAGTGGGTAATTTGAGACTTGCTGAGACACTAAACTTGTAATCAGCCTTTCTTAAACCTGTTTTTTGTGTCACCCAAGTGTTTTGACCTCTAAGAACCTTGACTTGCTGCAGTCTAGCAAGTACAACTGGTAGGCAGGAGCCTTCAAAGAGCAGAGGAAAAGCCACTTGGGAATTTACAGCCTCCAGAAGAGTGGCTGCTCTGCCTGTGCCTGTAGAGAAGCTAAATGGTTTCACCTCCTCTGGCTCAATGAGCTTGAACTCCATCCCTCGACCAGTCCAAGCAATGAAGTGGGAATTGGTTGGATCATCCAGTAAAGCCACAAGAAATTGCCAGAGTTGGAGAGATCCCCGTCTTTGGTATGGAGGTCCTTCCCGATACCATCCGGCTTCCTGCTTGATGTCTCCTGCTGAGAAGAACAAACAAGGTATTTCTAAGGGTAACAGTGCAAGAACGGTTGTGAAAAAATCACATTTCACTACTGTTTACCTGGAATATTTCAGTTCACATAAAACAGAACAGCCAGTTCACCAGCAGCCCTTCCTAGAGGAACTCTGATGAACCTCTCAATTAGGATACTTATGCTGGAACGCCTGTTTGCTGCTAAAAAAAGCTCAAGAAATGTAATATCAAAAAGCCAGCTGTGAACCACAGCTAAGATACCTGCAAGATCAGAGTGTAATGAACTATATGGGCAGTGGTCTACTGGCTAGCAAAGTCACTGGATAACCCTATATTACACCCAAACTTGGAGCTGTTCTTTCTCTGACCTTCAAATTTTTCTGGAACAACACAGACATCATCAGTAAAGGGCCTCCTCTGCTTGTCATAGCTGCAGCCTGAAAGAGAAAGCAATTTAGGCAGTCACAGACAAAAAGAGGATAGTACCCGACAGCAATGCAATGTAGGGGAAAGAAGACAGTCACTGAGTTTCTTACCTAATGCATCTTCTGCATTGGAAACTCTTGGATAACTCTCAACATTTATGTACATGGAAGGACAGCCAGGAAAATCTACAAAATAATTAACAAACTTATTTAATTAAAAAGCACGGGAGGCAGAATGATCATGCCTTCCAGCGGTGAATATGTAAGTGCAGCTGTCTAACCAACATCCTCTTTCAGCCCTCCTAAAGGGTTAGTGTCAGGCTGGTAACTCTTTAAGTTTCAGCTGTCCCACCACAACTTCACCTTCATCATGCTTCCAACCATGAATTACACTGGTAAATTTTTGTGGTACTATCACATGACGTCCTTCAGAGTAGCCAGTCAAGTCACCTATACACCACTCAATACAAAATCCTGGACAATAAGCTAAATTTGTTTGACACCTCTCTCTCATCTTAAAGATAACTATACTCTCTGCTACTGTTTTCTTGGGAGAGAAGGCATTACATTTTTCGAGGGGTACTATGATAATATTAATGGAGCTCAGCATCATCTGAGTGTTTACTGCAGACAGTGCTTCATAAAAGTGATTTCAGATGTCTTAGTTCTCCTTGGCTTTTTCACATCGTGATAAGGCTTTCTCACAAACAGTTGAGAAAACATAAAGGAAAAAAAAGCCTGAGTTTGAAAGCAAGCAGAAAGTCTTTTAATTATCTCTGTGCAGCATATATTGTTGCCTGGGCACTGCAATTTATATCTTCTGTGTCTTATGATTTCTGAATCAAACCTATTTTCCATCCACAGCTGAAGTGGAAGCTGTAACTGGGAGCTTTGGAAAGATTTACTTTACATTTCCCTTATACTCCTGTGGATAGCCTTTGCTTTCACCAGACATTTTGCTAATGCTAAGAGCAGAAGAGCACTCTGGGCTGACAGACTGTGTATTATTACAATCATAAACTACTCTGATAAAAAGCATTCTTCTGGGTTTGCACATTTTCTTCCCCTGTCTGGACATAAGGAACCAGTGAAAGTGTAATATCAGCATAGCCACAGTGGTGGATTCTATACCCTCATGGGAACTTTTGTGTATTTCTGACAAAGGAAACAATTCAAAATGTCCATTAAAATACCAAGAAAATATTCCTTCTAGAGGAAGGTAATGTGATGCTTGGGTAGAAAATCTTTGGTCAGGTCTGCTGAAAAAAACCCCAACTATCTCTTGTGAAAAAATAAGAGGATTATCTGATTAATCTGGTACCTAGAGAGCTATTTTTGGAATTAGAAACTTTTTTTCTCTCGTGATCCTCTGAAATATCTATCTGTTCTGTGTGCCCTGTTTCTATGGGAAGTAGCAGGTGAAGGTTGACACTGCAAGAGACACAGAGCAGCCCACTTACGCTTAGCCAAGTTGACCCGGTCCCCACTCGATGCTTATACATGTCCTTGGAATTGGCCAGTTTCTTGTTAGCCACCCAAGTATCTTTAGACTGTTTTAATTTCAGACTTTTAAGTCAGTTTGTCAGAACAAAGCTGGTTTATCTTGCATGGTCAGCTCCAAAATGCGGCATCAGCTCTCTCTGTGACTTGCTGCAGCAAGATTCCAGTGGGTGTCAGCTGCCGCTTAGAGGCCTCCGCAGGAAAAGCTGGCACCCACCATCTGGGCTGGCAGAGATGAATATTTACCTTAATTTTGTGAATTAAATTCTTATGCATCCAGTCAGGGAAAAGGCCCAGGGCCAGTCTGTATTGTGAGCTGCAGCTTAGGGTTGTGTAGTGCAATCCCTATACCCAGAGTACCGATTTCCTCTGCTAGTGCTTGAAGGTCCCCTCCTGCCACAGGGATCTGAGACAGTTTTTCTGTACAAACTCAAAGATACTTTATTCCTTTCTTCCTGCTGCCACTTACGGAATGTTTTCAGAATAATTTCTTCAAAACTTGCCTCACTTTCTATGACCTACCAGCTCATGCATCCCCCTGAAGACAAAAGCTGCATGTGAAACTAGGAATCATAGAATGGCTAAGGTTAGAAGAGACCTTAAAGTTAATCAGGTTCCAACCTCCCTGCTATGTGCAGGGACACTTCCCACAGACCAGGCTGCACAAAGTCTCATCCAACCTTGCCTTAAACACCTCCAGGAAGGGGACTTCCACAGCATCCCTGGGCAACTTGTTCCGATGTCTTATACCCTCATGGTGAAGAATGTCTTCCTGATGTCTACTAAATCTACCCTCTTTCACTTTAAAACCATTACCCCTTGTTCTAACAGTACCCACTCTGGTGAAAAGCCCCTCCCCAGCTTTCCTGTAGGCCCCTTTCAAGTACTGGAAGGTGCTGTAAGATCTCCCAGGAGCCTTCTCTACTCCAGGCTGAACAGCCCCAACTCTTGCAGCCTGTCTTCATAGAAGAGCTGCTCCAGGCCTTTGATCATCTTTGTGGTCCTTCTCTGGACCCTTTCCAACAGCTTCATGTCTTTCCTGTGCTGAGGGCTCCAGAGCTGTACATAATACTGCAGATGGGATCTCACCAGAGCAGAGGGGCAGAATAACTAATCACCTGTCACCAATCACCTCCTTATTTATCATGTGCCTTAGCAGATTTTCTAGGAGGATCTGTTCCATGATCTTGCCCAGCATAGAGGTGAGACTGACTGGCCTGTAGTTATCCAGGTCTTCCTTTTTCCCCTTTTTGAAAGGGGCTATGTTACATTTTTTTCCAGTCTTCGGAACTTCACCAGACTGCCATGACCTCTCAAATATGATGGACAGATGTTGCAGGTTGTTTAATAAACATCAGATGTGTGAGCAATCTTGTTTTTACTGAAGAACACCTGGGCCTCAGTGACCAAGGACCTTTTCATGAGAATCAGTTGATAAAAAGTGAGGCAATGAAGTAAACACCCGGACGTGCCGAAGAAGGAGTTGGGGTGGAGAGTTCTGACTGAGCATGTGCATACCTGAGCCTAGGAGCCAGTCACTGTTCAGATCGTGGCAGGCTCTAGTACAGCTGACCAATCATAAGTGTACAAACTCGGGATAAGGGTATATAAGTGCCTGTCATTTCTAATAAAGTTGGAGTTTGCTCTATCAATCATATTGATTGTCTCGCATTCTTCCCTCTCTGGAATACACCTCCACGCGCCGGCAGACAGAGGCTCAGCAACTGCATCCGCCATTTTCCTCAGGACCTCTGGATGGACCCCATCAGGTCCCATAGACTTGTGCACCTTCAGGTTCTTTAGATGGTCACAAACCTGTTCTCCAACAGTGTGAGGTGCTTCACTCTCCCAGTCCCTGCTTTCACCTGCTGTGGCCTTTGTGATGAGCCTGGAGCACTTGCCAGAGAAGACTGATGCAAAGTAATTGAGAACCTCAGCCTTCTCAATATCCAGTGTAGCTAGGTCTCCCGTTTCCTTCAGGAGAGGGCCTGCATTTTCCTTGTTGTCCTTTTATCCCCAACATACCTATAGAAGCTTTCCTTATTGCTCCTTACATCCTTGTATGTAATTTCAAGTGAATGCCCTTTTCTCCATTTCTGGTGGTGTGAGTGAGCTGATGATTAATTTTGAGAGGCTCCCTGATAGCTACTTATTTCCTTGGAAAAAAATATGTGCCTAGTTTGAATGGGTTTAACATCACCTTCTTGCTCATGTATCTTGTTAAAACTTTCCGTTATCCACCAGAAAGTCCTTCTTAGAACACACTACAGAAAGAGACTATGCCAGCCTTCCTTTGGCTGCAGTAAAGACAGAACAGTTTGCATTTTGTGCTACACAGACATTTTCTCAGAACACACATGCTCCTGAAGATGAAGTAGCCCAAAGTTTCAAAGCCCTCCAGTGATGGATGTTCACCCAGGAGGTTCCTCACTCCTCCAGATGCCCAGTTTATGCAGTCAGAGCTAGTTCTGCCTACCTGAGTCATACATGTAGTCCACCTGCTCCTGCTTGATCACCATTCCT